TATATATATATATATATATATATATATATATATATATATATATTGTTGAGTTTGATTTTCAGATTGCTAAGTCTGATTCTTGGTCCAATTTCTGATTATTGTTGAGTATGATTTTGTGAGTCGTTTTATTGCTGTGCCTATTATCTAATTGCTAAGTATGATTTCTTGGTCCAATTATTGAGTTGTTTTTCAGCAGCCTTAGTAATAAGGAGTGTTTACCAAGTTTCAAATTAAGGTTCTTTATTGTTACACTTAATTACTGATTTGTGGTTTTTTCTTTCAGCAACATTACTTATTTGTCATTGCTGATTTTTTCAAGTGTTTCAAATTCTTAATGTACATGTAACGTTTTTTCTTCATCCACAGTTTCAGTTAAGGTTATTTATTTTTACACTTAATTATATTTTCTTTGATTGTATAAAAACGATATTTAAATATTAAAAAAAAATGCTACTGTTCCTTTTCGTTGTTGGTTATTTTGTTTATCTGATCATGTTGTCTAATCATGAGTAGTGTGGTATAAGGTATGCCCACCATCTGTTATAATACTTGAACCAATATATGCTACAACACAGCTGAATATTTTTATCATTATGTTATCAAACATGGCACAACTGCTTTTTACTATTTTGCAAATTGGAATTTTAACACGTATTGGAGAAGCGGCTCCATTTGAACTCATACCAAATATAACCAAAGAAACATAATATACTCTTGAATGGCTTACTTTAATACCAAATGTAAGCAAACTTTGAGACTTACCCATGAGAATATACTATTGAATGACTTATTGTGCCACTTCAGCTATTGGCTCCTCTTGGTGATTTGCATCTGTTTACCGCATATTACATTGGAAAAATAAGCTGGATCTGATCCACTCCCAACCAAAGCAAAGAAAAAACAAAAACGGCATTTATTTTTAGTTTTCTAAGAGTATAAAAAAAATAAACCATTCATTTTTTTGAGTATAGAAATAGGCAGCAGAAATAACTATTTATATTTCTCTAGTGATGAATACAATATGACACTAAAGTACATTAAAAAATATATGAAAACTTAC